AATATTATACTTACCTACAGATACACATAAACCAGTGACTTCCATTTAAGAAACACCCTGTATATGCATAACATTAAATTACAGAGTATATCTACCTTCATATTGAATTATTCAAGTTTATTTTTCAAATTCACTTTCAAAATACTATCCGAAAAATTGAATTTGATAACTTAGGTATATTTATAACAAATATATATGTAAAATAAGATTGAGGAATAGGGCGCTCTGGTCAATGAAAAATCACAGGGCGTGTCCTGGAACCTTTTGTTTGCACGTATATGTGTACAACAGTCAACAAGTGTAGGTTTAACACTATCGCAGTTTAGTTATTATACGTTAAGTATATTAAAATATACATGTTATAATATTTATCCCATTTATATAACTAATAGAAATATTATCGTTTCGTTGTATCAATATGGCTAATCGCTAAATATATATATATTATGAATTACTCAAATTACAGATGTAATTTTTTTGTTTTTTAATTAACAACGAAGTGCTTACCAACTAAAACTCCAGTGATATAACGTGATAGTCTCGAATATCATTATTTGTTTTAAGGATTATAATTATAATTATTGTTATTAATAATCGTGTACACTCGCGGAAACGGCCGTTAAATATTCGAAATAATAATTATTTGTTTGCGCGGCGCTGTGTATAATAATAACTGTGCGAAATAACATTATATTATATAATTGTATTTGTATTTGTAATTTGTAGAGAACTATACTGTTATGAGCGTCGAATATTCGGGAATGTTATCTTTTGTCCCTGTCATAAATATGTCGCCTTTTCCTCTATGCGCTTCCTGATGTTTTCGTAAATACTCTACGCGTATGTGTTTGTGAGCTTAATATAGAATTCTGAATTCGACCAATGAATGGCCAAATAATGACCCCATGAAGTCGTCTTAACAGTATCAAGAGATCGGTTAATATTATTACAATAATAATATAAAATTTGTAAACTGCATGGTCGTGAATAAAAAGCATAAGTACTCACAATTATGATTATAATTCGTACCTGTATAAAATACGTTTATGATAATTTTATAGTAGTATATTATTGTTGTAAACTTGTAACTGATCACACACATAKTTTTATGATGTATATATTATATATACCTAGTAAATAATTTACTATAAATTACTGACCGTGTAATTTTACAACTGAAGAGAATCTTAAAATAGGAAATATTTTATACCGAATAAGTGTGAAAAATATCTCATTATTAAGCCACACGTCATGTACAAAGCAGGTATCAGAAATTACGATATCAGAGACCTTTCAGTTTGAACGAGTAGCCGGTTTTCAAGTAAACGTTTTAAACTTTTAAATACAGTTTTTACCGTGTAATGTTCAAATCATAATGCCATATTAATGCTTTATTCACGGACGTAATTTAACCATTCAAAGTAAAAAATATAATATAAAATTTTTATTTATGATTAAAACTAGGTACTTGAAGTTTCAAACAATTTTCAAAAAAACATTTAAAGCTCTGAATCGAAATGACGTAATATGAATAATAAACTCATTGATTCAAAACTGTGTTGATCCAAAGTATTTTGGAACCCGTTAAACGGTGGCACTTAAATTTACCCCAATCTCGAATGCCCATTGCATCATTACGAATATCATATTAATATTTATGTAGATATATCT